TTTGTCAGGTTCAGTCAAATTGCATTACTTTTTTTGTCAAAATTATAACATATTATAATATTCATTCTTGTACACGAAAAAATGTTAATAGACTGTTTGTGTGAATATATATAAGTCTAAATACATTTTGAAAATTAAATATGAAGGACCACTGAAGGCAAACATTTTGTGAAGAGAATGTACTAGCTAACGTCCTCCTTATCCTTATATTTCCGCTACTATTCATGACACGAAAAGTCATAAATTTTTGAAACCTACAACATGTAGGTTTAAACTTCAAAACAAAGAAAACTTAATAACATTCATTAAAAATGAATATTCAGCAAAAATTTTGGTATTATGTCTCAATTAGTAAGTAGTCACTACCGTGCCTCCAATACACACAGCTAGATATTTTTGGGTTTATTGTCATGATTCCGGCTCTCATAGGGCCCTAAAGCAAATTAAGCTTGGTTGCCACTTTGGCAAATTTAGAGAGCTCCAAGTATCCAAGATGGCTGCCAATTACAGTAGAAACAGAATTTTAGTACATTGAACGAAGTTAAATTGGTTATGTCTTAAGTTTCTATATGTTCTGAAGGTTGCAAGGCTTGTTCTTGTCATTCATGATTTTCTTGAAGAAATTTTTGCAAAGTTCTATGCACCACTTTTCTAAAGGTTTTAATTTACCATGTCATCAACATTAGATAAACAGGACAATATAAATGCCCTCGATGGAAAAGATTCTATTACACTGCCATAAATGAAAATTATCAAAAACACAAGCCGAAATATTTTCATACCATTAGCTTACAGCCAACCTGGGCGAGGGCCTTCATCAGATGTTGACACTATGTGAGCAGATGTTGACACTATGTGAGCAGATGTTGACACTATGTGAGCAGATGTTGACACTCACTGACCACTAGGTGGTATAACGGTACGAAAAAATTTTGACTTGTGTTTGATAATTTTCATTTATGATCCAACTACCAAGCTTATGAACATTTTTGCTTGGTTTTAAGTGCCCTCAGAAAAGATTCTTATATATTACATTGCTTACTGGTTAACCCTGGTTCCACACAGGACAAGCATACTTAACAACAGGGCACATTAAACTCTGATACACTTGTACAAAACCTGATGAAAGCAGTTTGGCACACTAAAGCTACCTCAAATTATACAATAGTCTGCACATTTTTTGTTATTAAGGAAAAAGATGGAAAATGCCATTACTATGGTCATAATTCATTAAAGATGCAATGTAGCAGGGGGCTACTGGACAATATGGCTTATTGACAGAATCCATCAAAATGGACTTCCTATCAGGATAATCATTTCCTCCCATTTGAAAACAAAAGAGAAACAAGAGAAACAAGTAACAGGAGTACAATAGAGCAGCCACACCTACACTTATAACTCTCAATACTGGATTTTTCTTTCACCTATGTATGTTTACATAGGTTCTAAAAATATATTATTTCAAATTCGAGTCTGCCTCAATGTTAACAGCACTTATTTTATTTACTTAACAAAGATGTTGGTTTCAGTGGCCATGAAAATTTGACAATCAACAAATACAGGGACTTTTAAATATTCACACAGCACTTCACAGGGTTTTATTTCATAACTGAGTCATACAACTGTATTAGTATATAATTTTGATTAGATGTAAAAAGCAATTTTATACTATTTTCCTTTAAATAGGGTAAAACAATCATATTAGTATATGGTTTTATTTAACTAGAAAATCACTTTTTTTTTCAAAAGCCTATGTATATTTAATATGAACTAGAACCTCATCCTCACAAGGAAGCCCCTCCCTCTCTGCCTCTGTACTTCAAAGAGTTACATAATGTTTAACATTATTACATTAATGCAAGAGAAGAAAAGGCTAAAAGTAACAAATTGTTCTTTCACATTAATGATTTTAAATTATACCTACATGCTTTTATGTAGGTTCTAAAAATTGTATTTCAAATTCGAGTCTACTGAATAGGAAACAGCACCTATTTTATTTATTTTTCAAAGATGCTGGTTTCAGTGGCCATGAACATTTGACAATCAACAAATATGCGGACTTTCAAATATTCACAAAGCACTTCACAGGGTTTTATTTTATAATTGAGTCACATAACTATATTAGTATATAATTCTGATTAAATATAAAAAGCATTTTTTTCACTAATTATTATTCAAAACCCTATATATATACCTAATATGTACTATAATCTCATCTTCCTAAAGAGGCCCTTCCCTCTGGATATATACCAGAAAGAATGTTACATAATCGCTCTCTCCTTAAACACTGTGGGCAGTAAAAGTAACAAAATATTCCATACAAATAAATCACAACTGAAATTTCTGCTCACATGATTCGTTAAATCTTATCTCTGCACATACAAGTACAGGATGCACACTACTGTGCATGTGAGAGATCCACTGTTTGATATAAACAAATGTTGCAATGAACAAAGCACAATTCACAACTGCACCCCCTACTTATATTTGTAATTGCATTTTATACCTACATATACATGTAGGTGACAAAAATTATCTCGTTTTCAAAATAAGCACAGTAAGATGTTTGCACCTTTTATATTAGCTTATCAAAGGTGTTGCCTTTAGTGGTCATGGACATTTGATCATTAACCAATACAAGGACGCTCAAATATTCACATGCTATGCCACAGGGTTTTATTTTATAACTAAGTCAAACAACTATATTAGTCTGTAATTTTGATTAAATTTAAAAAAGGATGCTTTTATCATTTTTTTAGAAATAGGGTAAAACCAATATATACTTAATATAAAAAAAGCATTTTTCCACCACTTATATATATATATATATATATATATATATATATATATATATATATATATATATATATATATATATATATATATATATATATATATATATATCACGGAAAATATAGTTGATACACTATGGAAAAGTGCTCTACCCATGGTGAGGGACCATGGGGAGCTCGTATAGAAAGACAAGAAAACGCACAAAGTTAATCTGTTCTCTCAAAAATTTTTGATCTGTTTATGCCCCTGACGAGGCCTCCGGGCCGAAACAGCTGTAGGGACTTATGGAAATTAAAATGGAGAGAACACATTAACTTTGTTCGTTTTCTTGTCTTTCTATATATATATATATATGTGTGTGTGTGTGTGTGTGTGTGTGTATGAACTATAACCTCATCAAAGAATGTTGCATACATATGACCTTCTGCTCCACAAATACTGTAGGCAACAAGAGAAAGGGATAAAAGTAACAAAATATTGAATACAAAAATTCACATCTGCACTTCCAGCTCACACTAAAGTTTTAGTGTTATACCTACATATACATATGTAGGTTATAAAAAAATTTTTTCTCGTTATCAAAATGGGTCTGTGTACAGGACATTTTCCTTGCCTCAAAAATGAGCTTTTTAAAAATGTTGCCTTTTGTGATGAAGAACATTTGAAAATCAACAAATATATGGACATTGCAATATTCACATAGCACTCCACAGGGTATTATTTCATAACTGAGTTATACAACTATATAGTTTATAATTTTTATTAAATAAACAAAGCATTTTTTACTTATTTTTCCAAAACCCTATACCACTTTTCTTTGTAATTTATCCTTAAGAAAATGGAGATATTTTCAAAAAAGCTAAACAAAATATTAAGAGGCAGACTTTTCCTCTAATCTATACAAAACCTAAAAGTATACAATTAAAATAACACATTAAAAATGGCAGCTGGCCTTTAATTTGAATTTCTTTAGTAAATGTTACCAAATCAATATTCAAGCCTTTTCCTTAAACAATATCTTAAAAGTATCATCCTCAGAAGTATTTTACAAATCACAGGTAATGAAATACAACTATATCTCATTTGGCACACCTGTAAGTATCTTAATGTGTACCTTGATGTAAGACATCCTCTATAGAATTACACATGCAATACAAACACGCCAATTAACTTGCCTGTTACACTGTTAACAATGCAAAGACACGATAAGGATGTGGTCTGGGCAACTTGGGAAGTAGACTAGATTAGGACTGGGCCTGTGACATAGATGTAATATGTTCTATAATTTCATACGATTGAACATAATTTTATTTTATTTTATGGCACTTTATGGGATTTTATGGCACTTTTCCAGTTAAAATGAAGATCTGTGTTCTCTTTAATGTTCAACAAATAGAGAGACTTCCATCTATTCATTAAATACCCTCCAAAAGGGCATTTCTTCCTTCTTTGTGCAAAGTCACGTACCACACTTATTACTGGGTTATGACTTTGAGAAAATCAGGGGAAAACACTTTTCCAAAGGTGATTCTTTCATAAACAATGATTTCAAATCAGGAGCAGTATATTGGGTAGCCCAATGAACCATTACTAATTCTAAATTCTATAACTTCAACAGAAGTAATAGCAGTGCTGGGTCTGATTTGTAAAACAAGGAAGCCCAGGTCTTACCTGCAGGAGTCTAAGCCCAGGTCTTACCTGCAGGAGTCTAAGCCCAGGTCTTACCTGTAGGAGTCTAAGCCCAGGTCTTACCTGCAGGAGTCTAAGCCCAGGTCTTACCTGCAGGAGTCTTTTAATGCTAGCTCTCTGCTGGTTTTGAGGTGAATCAGTCTCTTCAAAGTTCTCCTCACTTCCCTCTGGGTAGCATATTAACTGAACTAGCTGACGAGCCTGTAAATAATGATAATGGTATATGGCAATAAACTGTTTCTAAAGAGATCAACCATTTTTTTGCAATAGTAGGCCTGTCCTTTAGAGTCTTCATAAAGAAAAGTCTTGATAACAAGAATGACTTGTCCATGTAAACTTTTATACCATTATAATGTAACTACTTAACTTTCTGAAGAAGTTCCATCTCACATTTTTTTCCTTAATCACCAATTATAATCATATCATGACTGTTCATGAAACTGTTTATCTGTCATGAATCCACTTTAGAGATCTACGTTTCTTTCTTTCATTTCTTAAATGTCATTTTGGATGAAGAGGATTTCTGAGTCTGTCTCAGAAAGAAAAAATCATAACACAAACTGCCAGCTACCTCTCTCTTTAGATCCTGGAAGATGCTCATCAAATTTCTCACTGTTACCTGTTTGTATGACAGCATCAAATTTCTTTTTTTTTTACATGTGTCGTTGGGACCATTACCAGAAATGTGGATTGATCTATCTCTAAGGGGATTCTTGCTAAATTGCAATCAACTGCTAGTGGGTAATTAACTATCGTTTAGCAGCTTCAGTAGGCATGCCAGACACCTAAGCTGCTTAAGCTGAAAGCAATTTTGCAAGATACCCATTGGAGATGGATCGATCCTGTTAGATAGATCTAGGTGTGGGAACCCAGTCTGTGACAAACTATTTCTCATTGTTACCTGTGCAGGTGACAACATCATATTTCTTAATGTTACCTGTGCAGATGACAACATCATATTTCTTAATGTTACCTGTACAGATGACAACATCATATTTCTCAATGTTACCTGTGCAGATGACAACATCATATTTCTTAATGTTACCTGTGCAGATGACAACATCATATTTCTCAATGTTACCTGTGCAGATGACAACATCATATTTCT